GTTTTGGCCATATTTTGTTAGCGAGTGACAATGGGACTTCCTTCGGGGGTAATAAAAAATGTAACTTTTTCTGTCTCATTTCGTGTAGCACTAGTAATTATTTTCTTATATCAAATGTCCACATACACGCAAACGATTTCTAGCTCTATTGTGTCCTTTCTCTTGCAATGACTGTAATTCTTTTATCAAGAACAGATTCTATCTTTATTTGCATACTGGACACCGTAAATAAAGTGGACGTAAATTTAGAATGCTCCCAGAGGGATGATTGAACTTCCTCCCGAAGGTGGTATGAAAGATAACTTGTTTTTCTTAAAATTTTAACCGATTTCCAACTCTTTTTGTGTCTTCCCCCTCTTTTATGATTGTAATTTTTATCTGATTATGACAGATTCGATATTAACATGCACGCTGAGCATTAATTTTGGTGTATCTGTTTATTTAATTATTTTCTTTTATTGTTATTCATGGATTTTTGCGTACTACTATGTTACACACTGTATAAGGTTAGAATTTCGTTTCATTTTCTTTATATTATTTTGTACTCTATACCTATTAATCTGTTGTTGTCCTGTAATTGGAAAATGTATTTTTTTCTGTTGGACATTAAATATTATTATTATTATTATTATTATTATTATTAATCTGTGAGGGAAGATTAGACTTTTTCCGAGGGTAATGAATGAAAACTCATTTTTCACAAAATTCGAGAGAGGTATAAAGAACCACTTTTTTCAAAATTGTTTTTCTAGCCTTTATGTGTCCTTTCTCTTGCAATATTCGATATTTATATGCATGCCAGATATCAAACTAAAGGTCGGCGTAAATTTAGTAGGATCCGCGATGCAAGATTGGACTTCGTGGGTGGTAACAAAAAAAATGGTCTCCAAACAAATTTGATGGTAGAACTTATTTTATATATAATCGATCAAAAATTAGAACCGGTGTTCACCCCAAATCACATGCAACGGAGTGAAACTCAGGGATGGCACCCGAAATTTACTGCTTTTTTATGGTCTATGCACCTGTGGGTTTAACAGCAGCTCATTAGAGATCAAATTTGATCTACTAGTCAGTAACAATCGACAATTTCAGAAGAAAAAATCATACCATAGAAATGCCATTTGTTTTAGGGAACGCGTTTGCTGATACAGTAACGCAAATAATATCACTAACCTTTCGAATTTGATTGATCATTGATTAGCATATTTCTGGCACTTTTTCAGAACATAATTATCACACACAAGCTTTACCTAATAAAGCATAATTAATGATTTTGTTTACACAAATCTGATCAAAAAAAGTCACGGATGACAGTAAATCGATTCAACTGAAATTTGCATCTTCTAATGAATACATTTTTGAAAGATTAACAATATCCGAACTTACTGACAAAAGACCTAGTCTCATTCCACCCCTCTCTCATATTTCGAATAGTATTACCTTCTACCTTACTAAATCAAAAGAAAATATCTGGAGAGTAACTAATTCCTTAACACTGAGTACATTTATGGTAGCAAAAATGTCGAAAAACCATGTTACATCATATTACAGCTTTTAAATAACATGCCAAACCAGCTCATGATGACATTGAAACTTTTTTAAGCGAATGGTCACTGAAGGGGATTACTTGAAAATGGGTGTTTTAGACACCCATTTATTAAAGGTTCGCAAATTTTAATTGGGACACGAGGACATACTTTGAATTGATTGAAGTTAAATTATTTTTGCATATTTTGCATAATTATTCAGGTTCCTCTTTGTATTTATCTTATAATTTTGCATATTCTCTATATTTTAGACGTTATATGCAGTTAATTATAATTAAGTATCGATTTTTTTGCGATTTTGTTGTTGACTGATTTAATTATGTATGTGGATACGATTGGTCATCGAATTACAATGAAGTTATTTTTCAATACCTACACTTTGTTCATCTCTAACCATATCACTACTGACCATTTACAATATGAAGGTTACTTACTTTGCGTTGTTAGCCCTAAGCCTCTAACTAATCATGAACTAATCATAAATGTGATGGTAACGTTAAAAGCTCAGTAGAAAATTTGTTTTCCAGTTTTTTATAATCATCATTATATTAGATAACTATATCTAATATAATGATGATTTTGTATGTCTTACTAACTAACCAAATGCATTTTTAACCTATATAAACTTGTACCTAATCAGAAAAAATTAGTTTCATCTAAAGATTTAAAGACATCACTGTCATAAGGTCCGCAAAATCCTACACAGAACTTGTGCAATTTTTGTTACTATTATAGCCAGTGATGTTCCCATCAATTTCTTTGAGAGTTGAGCCAGTGGTTGTGATGTTCCCTTTAAAGCGCGGGGGGGGGGGCATCCCTGACAAATTTATAAAAATTTGATACTCAAAACGCAATTTCAGCGCTCTAACTTGGTAAAAAAAAGTGTTTCTGGATAACATACGACCTTCAATTCGCTTGATAATTATCATGTGCAGTGGCGCCTTATACGCCATATGTCTAAAAAATCCTTGAGAGTATACGGCGTATATGGAGTATACCCTATGGGAACACAACACCAGTGATTATAGCCCAATAAAATTATGCAAATCAAGGATAATCCAAGGAAAAAATCCCTGAGCTTTGAAAATTGGTACAGTTGTTCCTTAGTGTCTAAGTATCAAGAAAATAAACAGTCTTTATGGGTGGGGAGTGACCTCGAGGAGGGCCCCTTTTTTAGTTTTTTACTTGTATCTCAGTAACTGTCACTCGTAGCGAGAAGTTCTTTAGATAAAAGTTAAAGGTAACACAATTTTCCACAAAAATAATTCTCTAGTAAACTAATAATTTCGGAGTCGGAAAGCATCCGACGCCGACGGCCCTGGCAAGTCTTAAATTTTTTCACGGTTCTTAAAGTGCTTTTTGGGACCATCCGAGAACATTTTAGCATCTTTCCAAAACTATCGGCACCTTTTTACTTCCGTTCTTCCACACGTTCTAATGCATTCTATGATTTGCGGATTTTGCAGAGCGTTATGGGTTTTTTAAAAACCGGTTGAGCCATTCTCGTTTTGAGAAAGGCGTAGAATGCTTTGGCAAAGACCTAAAGGACGTTGAAGAACACCAAACAAACAAAAACCCGGAAAACCCAACCTTCCACACTTTTTCAGGTGCTTTTCAGACCGTTTGGCGGCCTTCGAGATTTACTTCTACTCCCCAGCGCATCCCGGATATCGATAAAGGTGGCACCCCACTTTGTCAAAATCAAATAAAAATATGCCTATCATTTAGGACTAATCAACGACTAATGGCCGTTTGCACCGACAAATTTAAACGGAGCTTAGCTTAGGTGTAACTTAAAATCGATTAATGACACAATGGTTGCCATGGACTTTAAGCTACGCTTTAGCTAAGCTCCGCTTAAATTTGTTGGTACAAACGACCATAATTTGTACCCACAAAATTAGAATTTGTACCCGCTCGGCTCCGCCGATGTTTAACTGTCGTACTACGAAATAGGGGTCAAAATTGACCAATTACTTTAATGTTTTTTTAAATATATTTTATAATTATTTTATTATCGCGTACAATTCCCAAGAGGAGTTCCACAGTGTGTGTTGGATTTTTTCATTGTAAAATGCAAAAACGTTCATGGTATTCTAATTAAAGGTCTCAATTAAAGGAAATTATTTCTACCAACCACACTTCTCCTCCTCGATTTTTTATCGTGACCGATTATAATTCCTCACATCTCTAGAGCGGAGTGTCGGAGGAGCAATTGTCACGTTTGTCCATTGGTAATGTCAAAATTTTAAGAGCGATGTGCTAACATATCCCTATGGTTAGGCAACACACCTCACAACTGAAAGAATGAGTATGAGAGAATCTTCGATTTTGATCTTCTACGCAGATGCGAAGGAACAGGGATTTTTTCTTAACGAAGCTGGGAAGAAACTTAGCGTCGGTCGGTTCGGTAACGATATTCGAATGCGAGCCGAGTTTGAGCGACAGCGGGTCTAGCGTTTATTTTGTTGTTATCTTTGAAAAGTGTATTAATAATAGTGTATACAAGTAGCAATCATTTTATTCTTTGTTGTACTAACCATTAATCTTTGAATTTCATTTCACAATTCGTTATTATTTACATTTTGCATAAAATGCTGATATTTGAAGTAATTCATGCTTTTGTTTTGAGTACCGTTATCTGAAATATATTTGTTTGTTATAATGTACAGGTGATTATATGCCTGTATACTGTTTCATGTTTATGATCAGTGTGCTCTTGCTCTGTATGCTTCAATTTATCTATTCCGTGGCGTGAGTACGGCATGCAGTTTCGGGCGACACGAGAAGGGGGGGTCTTCTAATTTGATGTTTCTCAGTATGAATGATTTAACTGTTTCCGTGGAGTAAGACCGCCTACAGTCCTATTATTCGCTATGTCTGTTGCTTGCTCACTAGTGCGGACTGCAGCTCTTGTGTCTTAATTGTTGAGGTCCATATTAAAACTGTTCTGGGGGCCATATATCCACCTCATTCGTGGCCATTTGCAGAGCTAGTTGAGATCTCAGAGCTAAAGAGAGTCCACCAATATTCTGGAAAGAAAAGGTCGGATATATGCCTTGTTCTCAAATTGAGTTGAATGCCTCACAGAAGTAAAATCTCTGTGAATTCCTGGGATGGTTTAACATTTCAGAACCAGGATGACTTGCTGCTATCTCAAACTCTACCATTGTAAAAGGACGACGATTGTAGTAGTAGTAATATATTTGGTCTATGCTTATACCTTTCAATAATTAGAGTAAATAATCAGTCGTAAGAAAAAAGCTACAAAGGTTAGAAAAGGACTTCAGTAAAAGTTACCATTGAAGTAAATTTACGAAAAAAAATCACCCTTTTTCACCCTTCAAAATCTTTCTCGGACTAGTCACCACTCACCTTACCTGAAACGGGGCTCTTTATCTGAAAGGCGGCCTGTATTTAACTGGCTTAGGTTTCGAGCAAGTTACACAATACTGCGAACTTTTAATTGGTTCCTATTTACATTTACACACACAGACGCACACGTGTCATAAAATATATACAACTGAAAAATGTTTCCTGAGTATTTACGAGTATTAATAACAATCAACAATTGACTAAAAGCATTTTCTATTTGAGACTCTCCATTTTAAAAGGAAAAAGGACGCTATCTTAAATATTAAATAATTACAGCATAGCACTATGAAGGATTGCCAGAACATATTCAGCGGTACCTCCATGTCGCGCATGAACTTCTCAGGATATTTATAATGGCAGTATGAGTCATCAGGGCAGTACATTATCTCCCGATTGAAGCCGTAAATGGAATTCAGCATCCCTTCCAATCCATACCTCGTAAATGTGGATTTGCTGATCCAGTAAATTATAATAGGAATGTTTTGCAGATTTTCTCCCACGTTTGAAAGTACAACTGACATTGCTGACAGTGCGAAGCCCAAAAAGGTGCCATACTGAAAGTGAAAGTTAGCGAAAGTTGTGCTTTTCGTTAGGCTTACCATAACATTGAGGGCGGTACCTATGGCGGTTCCCAGGCTTTGAGATACTAATACTAATTGTAAGCTTATTGTTGTGAACATTGCAATCCTTTCGATTTCCAACGGCTGCCCGGTTGCTGGGTAGACAACTGCGGTGAACACCAGGCAGCATAGCAGCAAAATAGGTATTTCGCAGACGGTTGTTGCACTAAAGTACATTTTTAACGAGTACCTTTTGTTGAAGTACTCATTGGTAATCGTGGGTATTTCGGCTGTGGCTATAAAAATGCCATTATTTCCAGCGTGGCCTTGTTGTAATACTCACCAGCGAGAATGCCAAGGATTAATGTTGTTACCATATTGTGTATAAGAATACAAAAGAGCAAATTGTAATTATTACGCACTTTCGCTCCATGCCAGCCAATTTGCCAGTACAGTATGCAATACAAGGCCGCAATGCTGAGATTCGCCAAAAAGCGCATGTACACAAACCTCTGGAAAAGCGGATTAGAGTCCCCCAGGCGCACAATGGCCGAACTTACCGTGTCCCTTTTGTACCTAAGCATACACCTTCGTGATAACACCCGAAACTGATGGAACGACGAGGCTCTCTCGCACTTTCGGTTCCTGAACACATCTTCTATGTCTTTTTGTACTATTATGGCGTCCAACGATTGCATTGGTACTTTTGGCACGTGCTTCCATTTGTCGCATTTTCCATTTTCAATCTTGTTAGTCAGAATTGTGATATTTTCCTGCTTGTTTTCGCTTGATACTAACTCCATTACTGAAACAAAACGTATTTCAAAAGTAATTCAGGGAGCAACCCCTCCGTTCCTATCATTATACAATGTTTCCTTTGCACATTTATATGAATGCATATTATGCAGGGACAAAATGGAACAACTTATCAGAGACAAGTTCGTGGTATCACACTGTTGCAGTGTGATATGAATTTCATAGTTTTAAAATTGTTTAAATGATGAGGGGAATTCTTTAATTTTCTTGTTCATCTAAGCTAAACTAATCAACCGCGAATTAGTGGCCATTAAAGCAAAAAAAAATGAATTGACACTGTATTTTTACTCAAATCGCTCTTGATCTTTTGATTTTAGTTAACCTTTCTTATCAGAAGCTTACGAAAAACCCGCAATCAGTAGCGAGTAATTTAACATATTTGTTAAGTCTAAATTCAATAATAAGGAGAAATAAGAGAGGGATTCGACGGACAAAGATTTTGCATTGGTAAAAACGAGAAACTGATAATATGTAATTCAGCGAACAATGAATTTTTCCCCAAAACAATGGAATCGATATTATGGAATTTCCTTGGTTAAAGTAATGCTGTTTCAAAAGTAGATCTAAATTGAATATTGATAAAATTATTTTTATTCGAACTAGTGACCCAAATTCAGAAAATATGAGCTTTGTGTTTTTATTAAGTTTATAACTGCAAAAATAATGCAACTTATACGTTTGTGTAAATATAAGTGCAGAGGCGTTTAGCAACAAAAATACTGTTTTCGACTACGAAACGCATTGCATGCACTAACACAGTGTGCAAAACAGGAAGTACTATATTGAAAGATAATTTTGTAAAAATCCAATATTAAATACGATAACATATGCACCAAGTTGATATCCCCGTCACCCCGATTTCCTTGTGGTGCAAATTTTTCCAAGCGGCCTATTTTAGTAATGGTCATTATTATTATGAGAGCCTTCCACCATTTTAATATTAGACAGATACCTACTTTCTGAATGGTATATTAGTGTCACGTGCCATATTGTTGATGTATCACTAAATATATATTACTATTATTGTCACGTAGATAAAGAAACCCATTGAATTCCAGTTACTATGTACTATGTAGAGTGTAGCCAGGCTATAGCCTAATGGGATAAGGTTCGAGGGTCGTATTTAAGTTTTAAACCTACTCACATTTTTGGGTTTACAGGTTTTCTACAAGTGGATATATTATAATTTATAGCTATTATAGCTCGAGCTAGGTGGCTATTGAGATCACCGTTTTTCGGACCTGTTAAAATTTCATCAAATGTTGAAATTTAGATCATTGTAAGCAACTTTTAATGAATTTTTTTCTGTCTCTATGTATCCGGCATGTATAAAAAATTAGCGCTCTGGAAGTCACTCAGTACAAAAGCATCGCTTTTTTAATTTGACTATAAAAACATACGGTGAACAGGTTTGTCATTTTGTGTTGTTATCATAGGATGAACTTAATTTAAAGAAATTGTTACTTTTCGAGATGACTTTCCTTGCATACCTCAATTACTCTAGCATGAAATTTTATAGATTGTTTATATTTCTTTTGGAGTGACCAAGTATAGTAAGAAACTGACGCACTCCACCCCTTCATCCAAATTCTTTGCGATGAATTATTATAAGCTAATTCGTTGTTCTTATTAAGATCTCGACTAGCAGTTCTGGAAAAAAAACTACACTTTTATCTCATAGTGGAGACAATGATATTCTTAAAACCATTTTTACAATTTTTGTTGCCTAAGAAACAGTTCTGCAAATATTTGTATCAATTTTAAGGGCTTTTAGTCTATGAACAATGTTAGTTATCGTTACATGGCTGATTTTTTTGTAAGGTATCCTGACACATACGACAAATTTTGAGAAAACGTCCAACTTTCCGGCCGGCCTGTATTTTGAATCCGACGCAAAAAGTGTATGATACTTTTTTTAACAGCATATCTTTTTTGTATTTAATATTTCTCGTTATGGTGCTTACCTTTCGAGAAAAAGGCACATGTAGAAAAAAAAAGTCGTTTAACTTTTCAATTTAAAATTTCTCAAAAACTAAGAAACTCCACTAAAAACAGTGGTGTACAGTTTTTTATGCCGCATTAGCCAGTGTATGCGAAAAAAATATTTTCAATCCGTTTCTATAGCAAAGTTGTTATTAGAATTAGTTCTGTATTTTTGTCGTTAGAGACCATCTGAGTTTCTATTACAATAATTCACTCTTTTGTCGCTAGAATTCACGATTTGTACCTTCTTGCACATAATGCCATCCCTTAATTTGGCCTTAACCGCGAGTTGTATACCTTTCGTGCACAGTGAAGATTTTGTCTTCATATTGGTTGCATGCAAATTATTTACTTCCTGCAAAATTCCTTATGAAGGATTTCACCTTGAAATTTTTGCTCCGAAGAGAACTCTCCCAAAGATTGCTTCCAGAGAAACACGAAAACCTGGCCACTTGTTTCTAGTTTATGGCAAGTGAACCACCAGTACCAGTACTTTCTTGAAGGCAAATATTCCGCAAGTGTTTCCGTGCGCGGAGGGAGGGGGCGAATATTCCAGAAACAATGAATTCATAAATCATTAAACTTTAGCCTGAGCAATGTATAGATTTTATAAATATTGTAAAATTGTCATTTATAGGAGCGAGATTTCAATACAACGGATTCTTAGACCATACTGTACATAGACTGCTAATTGCAACTCAAATAGGGCCAAGGACATCTCCTAGATATGTAAGTTTCGGGGTAAAACGATTTTGTCCGAACTTGTCCGATGAGGCTGTCAGCCTTTAAATTAAAAAAACGTCAATTAATTAATCGCCTAGATATGCCAACAAAAAAGCAAACTTATTCTTATTTGTGGACGCGATTCAGATTAAAACTAGAGGCACTGGTATAATTTACAAATGGCATGTATATGTGGTAGCTGTTTGTAAACATTGAGTTGTTATTCTTGAAGGTTTTTAAGTGAAATTGTATTAATTTGAAAGTGAATTGAGTTTATCCTGCCGTTTTTGACACTTGAAAATATAACCCCTTAGTCCTATCCTATTTGTTCTTATAAGTTCTTAAGAACACGAGGTTATCTTGAATTAGCTTAATCATGCAATTATATTAATTTTCTAATTACAAATAAAGATACAACTCGCCGGCATTCCCTTACGTCGATTATGCTTTAAACTAGCCTGGATATTCGTGGGATAACTCTTCCAGAAATGAAGCCGAATTCAAAACTGAGATACGAGTTTTTTATATTGAAAAAATAAACTTATTTCAGAGTTAATTTGAGTACATAGTACTTAGTTAGTAGATATTGAACTTAATCGTGTCCACTCCTTGGTATTCGTTTCTGGATTGGAAAAGGATCTCCAATCTCCAAGATACTTTTTGATTTTATTATTCACTGACAATTGTGGAAGTTATAGTGTACAACATGGTTCGAAAAGCACTTTTCAAACTCGGGTAACTAACTCGCCTACGGCTCGTGACCCAAATCCCCGTACTCATGTGAAAAGCAGCCACCCTTTGAAGAAGTTACAACGCTCCAGATTAAAATAGAGTTATAAATTGTTTAAGTAAAAATATGTACGAGTATATCATTACTTATAGAAATTTGCTAGATTATTTTTGATAACTTAACAACTACCATGAAAAATAATAATTTATCAATCAAGATTAAGGCTATTAATAAAATACTATAAACATTTGATTTGTAACGGAAGCTTGGTAAATTTTTCAAGTTTTGTGGATTTCAAAATTATATTCGGGTAGAAGTGCGTATCGATGATTCAGATTTCTGGGAAGTTGTAGTTTTCATTAAAAGTAACAAACATTTTTTTCTGATGTAATTAAGTTTCAAATATCGTATAATATAAGATGAGTTATTGGTTTTGGACTTCCTATTTTGGGCGAGTTAACGATTAGTACGTGATTTAAAAAAGGTCACCGGTTAAAAGACGCAATTGATTCTAAGAAAAATATGTAATAAAACAGCGAGGCTAAAAAATTATGAGTTTGTTTATTTCCGGAAACTCGATGGGAGCGTTAATTACGGGCGTTGGTTTACTCGCGATATAAAAACCAAAATGATCAGAAATTTGGGGGGCTTTCTGCGTAGATATTCACGCGGAGCGTGGATACCGTCGCGGAAAACGCGGCCACCACTTATAAAGTTTTTTCGTAGATATTCGCACGGGCGAGTGTCGTCGCGGAAAATGCGGCTAAGGGCCATTTAAGTAAAAAGGTCCAAACCAAATAAAATTTGTTGCGCGTATTAATTTAAAATCGTATTTTTTAACCAAGAACCAGTTGGTCGTTCTGGAATAGTGAATTGTTCGGAAAGTATTAATCATTGAATAACTGCAGTTTAGTTTAACGTGCGATTGAAAGACTTCCGTTCAGAAATTATACCTAAAGTACGAAAAGCGCGCTAAGAAATTGTTGTTCAATTGGGATTACGCGATTGGATTTAATAGGCGAAGATTGAGAATAATCTAAATCATCCTCCACTACAATACCCACCATCTAAAAAGGGGAAGAATACTACTGTCTAAATTGTAAGTTATTTTTGTGAAAAGTTATTTATATAAAAATTTATTTATATTAAATTTTTATTTTGTCATTTTATAATTGTTTTTGCCGAATGGTTTTATATAGATAGGATAAATATAAGTTAGAAGTTAGAAGAATATTCATTGCTGTAGGTAATTAAATTAAGTGTTATATTAAGTAAATTTAAATATTAGGTATTCAGATTCAGGATAGATGTAAGTAATTGAGTAATTAAGATTTAATATAAAAAAGGAAATCAATTGTGAGTGCAGTGGAATTTGGATTTATTTTATTTTTTTCAATATAATCGGTTTATTGATGTAGATTTATTTTTTTATCAATCAGAAACGTGAGACGGTAATAGTAGGGCTATTACAGATTTTGCACATTGAAATGTTTCTAATCTCCAATAGTATAAGTAAGTACATAAAGAGAACACACACCAAAGAAAAGATCATTAAAATCGGGTAATAAACCTTTACCCTCTCATCCTCCCCCAACGATCTTTAACAAACGCTTTAAAAGAATGATTGAGATATTAACGTTAAAATTTCTGGGGTGTTGGAAAGTAGTTCAATACAAAAACCGCGTTTTTTTAAACAATGGTGCCCAGTTTTGTAGTATCTAAAAGTTCAAATCAAAAAAACGGCGAACAAGGTCAAAGGTAATAAACAATCATGTTACGCAACCCATTTCACATTCATTAATCGCGTGTTTAAGCATATGTTTGTACTGTAGGGTGGATAAATTGAAATTTGTTTATTTAGATTCAGACGTACTTTTTAACTTCTAGTGTAGATCAACTGGTGGCATTTAAATATCCATGCACAATTTTATGTTATTCTACGATTATTATACTACGACAAGGTTGACAATATTATTGTGCAACCAATCAATTAGAAAGTAAAATTAAGTTTCAATAATGATACGTTTTTAAATTTTTAATTTGTCGATGAAAATACATATGTTTATTTATTTTATATAACATCGGTCCAATGGTGAAGCAGTAAAATCCAATAATTAATAGCAATACGGAAGAATTCATTAAAAATATTCAACGAATACCAGATAAAAAACAATAGTACACAATAAATGTTCGATTGCTTTCATATTCAATGATTTGGTAAATATAGCACATTACCCAAACAACCTTAATTTATAGTTAACCTTTTTTATGGAATTTGAACAGACAGCAGCAGGAATAAATTCCATTCGTTTCAATATCCCTGTGGATCAAAATGTTTACTTTGGGGACTACGTTTAAATCAGTCACTGCCTCTTTCTTTTCCATGACATAGATAAAACTATTTTCAAAATTGCGGAGGTCCGTCATGATAGAAAGATTTGCTTCTTAAAGTTGAATAGCACAGCAATTATCCTTGTCTAATGATCTTTCGTGAATGGCGGTAGGTATCCGAATTGTAATTTATACCAACAAGGACTTAATTTGTTTTTTGTTGATATAAACTACATTTTGAATAAGGTCCTTTAATTTTTAGGTAAGAAAACAAGAAAAATGTAATTTTCTTCTCTGGTTGTAGTTAGTGGGTGCATGGATAAGGAATTGAAAGTTGGGAATAGACGAATGCATTTTTTGTTTAAAAAGTCGCTCTTTTCAAGACAAAACAATTTATCAAGCCACTATCTCATATCATGCAGTCATTCATATTGAATTTCTTAAATGTATTTCTCTAATTTCAGGTCCGTGCTAGAGATAAGAACGACACAGATGTACGTTTAGGTACATACAAGTGTATCCTCGCGTTTTACCTACGGGCAAATCAGTTCGGTTATGTTTTAGTGCGAAGTAGTGTCGCGTGTTTTTGAAATTGCGTGATTTTTCTGCTGTTTTAATAGGTAAGTTGTTAATCATCGATCATTAACACGTAATTTTCTCATATAAGTGTTCTATACTTGCAATGAGTAGTTATCATTTTATTTAAAGTGCTCAAATTGCGGCCGCATCTTCTAATATTCACTTTGTTCCAGAAATGAACTCAAGCACATTCTTTCATGTTAATTGGGTAAGTAATTTTTATATAAATTACATTTTTCTGTGTACTGATAGCCCTTAATAATAACTTTTTATAATGCTATAACCACTTTTCCTGATATTTGTAGAATTTATCTTTCGGTTGTTTTTGCAAAAGATAGGTGGCCAAGTTACGGTCTTTCTCAACGGTCACAAAGTCATTGGGGTCAACTGTGAGTACGTAAAAACTCAACTTTTTCAAATGGAACCACTTATATATTCCTATAAATATTTCAATTGATCAACAACAGGAGTATTTTCCTCGAAATTTGTTAAATGGTTTTTAAAAAATAAAGATTTTTGCGATTTATTATCGTCTGTGGAGATAATGCCATGCGTGGCTCGTGTATTCTTTGTTTCATATTCTTCTTGGTACTAACTTGAGTTTGATAAAGCAATAATATCCTTTACAAAACTACAGAGAAAGAAATCAAATTTTCTTAATTCCGAATTTGTAGCGGAACAACGTCTATGCTATGTGTGTGGGGAACGGGGGGAAAAGGGAATCTGGTTGAAACCAAATTTTGTTTCCAATTACTCTATTACTAAAATTACACAAATATATAGGATGTTCTCACTGGCGCCACCATCAACATTTCAATGGGTGGCTCAACTTAGGGGCAATAATTCGCTAGACTTGCAGTATGTAGGAGGATTTGTGCATCAATTTACATTTTACATATTTTATTTTACTTAAGCGCGGTTTTGTTCGCCGGATCGAGGTTTTATTAGCAAACTAATTATGCTACAGTTTCATCATTGAATTTATAGTTATAAATTCAATGGTTTCATTATAAAGAAAACTTTTTGTGCTGAAATATAATCTGCATGCAAACAATTGTGACACAAAGCTAATGCTTCAATCCCGAGTATTCTGCGAAGATTCCTTCGAGAGTTATACTTAAAAACCTTGGCAGCCTACTGACCGACGGAACAGTCAAAGTGAATATAAGCGCTACTTTTTTTCAAAAACGAGTTCATAACTTTGATATGTCTGTCTGTCTGTCCGTTAGCACGATATCACGAAAACGAATGAACCGATTATGATGAAAATTTTACAGGTGGATTCTTTATCAAATTTGTAGATAAAAGTTCGTTAATTGCCAATGTAGGCCAAAAAATAAGGAAGGCCTTTTTGACTGCTACTACCCAGAAGCTCGTTTGTTATTTATTTAATTTAAAAAAATAATAATATTGCTTATAGTAGGTAAGCGATAACGTAAGCCGGAAATCAAGTGTGTACTTTTGCCCATCTTACTGTATATACCAGTATAAACCTACAGGGTGAATTTTTGTTCAGTATGGGGATCTCAGAAACCGTAAGAGGTACAAAATCGCTTAAATGGGTAAAAAATTGCAGAATTAAAATTAATTTTGGTATTTTTCAAAATAAATTAGCGCATTTTTGAAAATGAGATTTTTCAGTTTTTTGTGCATAACTTAGTTGTTTGTAGAGCTACAAGAAACTCTGAAAGGGATTAATCTGCATAAAATTCTGCAATTCTTTACCCATTTATGACACTCTGTATCTCTTGGGATTTACGAGGTCCCCATACTTAACATAAAAAAATGAATATTTGGACAAATGGGAAAAAAATGAAACGATCCGCGGACCGTATAAAGGCGCAATTCGCAATCTGTTCATGGGAGCGTTGATTATTTTTTCAAGAGTGTGCCAAGGGGGCCGAGCTCGCCCGGCCCACCCCGTGACGTTGCCACTGGGTGTTCTATTCAAAAAATTATGGAGAACCTTTGTATGTCTCAAATATTTTTAGATTATAAAGATTCTTGTATGACAAAACTTTTGCTTAACATATTTCTTTCTAATGTCAACTATTTGGGCGATATCGGTCGCCCATAAAAGGTGGTCTCACGCTGTATACAGCGTGCCGATTTTTTGTGCCTCGTCATCAAGATGGTTTTTTGTTATAAATTAATGAAACAAGAATCATTAAAATACCTCCACAAATGAAAAAGTTATATAACTTTAAAGTAAAATCTCCACATATAAGTCGGTTTATACTTAATCTCGAGATGCAGGTGAGGATTATACTTAATCTGGGAAATAAGTGTAATGCTTACTTACAACTTACAACACTGATAAAATAAATAAAGCATAAATATCTACTATTAGCAAATGACCTTAAGTTACATTCAATTATATGGTCGACTTCAGATGCCATAAAGCTACAATCGTCTCTAAAGGAAGTACTACAGTGGTGCCACAACAATATGTACCCTAACATTTCTAAATGCTGTGTGATGAGTTTTCACCAAATTTCTAGGCTCTAACGATTTTTATTACCAAGCTTGTATTTCAAATTTCCAATCCTTAAGAGCCCGTGGGAAATTTGCAGATGTGTACATTTATTTAAATAAATGCACGCATATTTGTGTTATGTGTAAATGTTTCATCTAAAATTTTACGTACCTAATATACACTTGTTCCATTCCATGTGCCATACCACAGAACAATGTACGGACTTTTACTGCTGGTAAGAATGTGTAACTCCGTAAATTTGCTATGTAGTGATACCAGCTTTTTTGGTACTACGTTTAGTCAATTTAAAAGGAAGCTTATGTTGCACAATTACGGTTTTACGTAATTTAAGGGTTATTAGAATTCATGAAATTTATCGTTCTTTTTATCAATTAATAAATTCTACTTATATCTCATCAAGATCAAGTATTGAATTCTGACTTTTTTTACCCGCTGTTTGCGGTTTTGCAATAAATTGCACCGAGAGTATTCTATAATGATAATTGATATTATTTTAACACTAGAGCTACAATGAAAAATCATATAAAATTAACAAACTTCACTAAACATGTTTACTGAAGTGAATTACAAAAATGCATTGGTCGACAAAGTAGCTTGCGGAGGGGGGCAAGAAAAATCAATCAGATCGTTCGGGATTTCATTTTAAACTACTTTTCTCAATCACTGAGCGCACGTGGGCCGTTGAACAAAGCGATTCAAGATATTTCCTTTTCTAAACAATGCGCCCATTATTTACCCGTTATCATAGATAAGCTACTGCGTAGAATAAATTGTAAACACGGAATGTAAACAATAGAAGAACAAAATGTGCACTTACAGTATTCGATTGGGTGATTGTACTTCGGACACGGAAGATCTACCGAATCCAAAAACTGTAGGAGATTCCTCGAGGTCCCTTGGTAAACGCAACGTCCTTCCCCTAATATGTAAATCTCATCAAAGAGTTCCAAGGCACTCGCCGATGCCTGATGTATCGTACAGACGATAGTTTTTCCATCTCGTGCCAAGCGGTGTAGCAGTCTGAGGCATTGTGTCGACGAGGAACTGTCGATACCCCTGGAAATAATTCCGAATTAGCACTTTCCCTGAAATGAGAAACTAAAATTACCTACGTTGAGTTTTATAAATTCAAACATCCTGTATAAGTAAAATTTGTAAACAGAGGAGATAAGTGTATCACTTTTAAGAAATGTTAACGGGTCGCGATAAGAGCAATTGGCAACCCAAAGAGCAGCATAAAATTTTGACTTACGTAGTGGGTTCGTCGAAAAACATGACGGATGGATCGTCGATTAATTCGATGGCGATTGCTAGTCGCTTTTGCTGGCCACTTGAAAGACAAGAAACTCGCATATTTGACGAGGTGTCCAAAGAGAGCGTTGCCAAAATTTCCTTTATCTGAAAGCGAATTATCTCGAGGCTCGATTAGTTTTGAGTTTACACTTACGATAATGTCTTTGTTTTCCTGCGATGTGTAAAGTCCGAGTTTTAAGTCGGCGGCGATCGCCATACTTTCCCATACGGTAAGAAAACTTTGCAAATGGTTCTCCTGCGTGATGTAACAGGAGAATTTCCGAAATAGTTGAACGTCTCGTACTGTGTCGTTGTTGTATACGGTGCCGCTGAACCCCTTCACGTTGTACCCGCTTAAAATGTCGAGGAGGGTGGTTTTTCCAGCGCCTGATGGTCCTAGAATCGCGATGAACTGGCCCGAAGCAAATTTCCCATTGACATTATGAAGAATTTGCTTCATTCCTGGAAGTAAGGCAACTGAACGCGTGTACGCGCTTTCTAAAACTTTACCTTTGCGAAAACCAAGCGAAACTGAGATTTTGAGGTTTTCAAAGCGTATATCCACCGGAAGCGATTCATCCTTTTTAGCACAACCACCGCTCACATGTTTAAATAAATTAACCGTGCATGCTTTATCACTTATACTATTTGTAACCGCGCCTTTGGAGGGAGTGAAACGTGCTGCTAAATTTAAAAGAACCTCCATGACGGGTGCACTTTAAGGGGTGTTCATCGAGACTGGCATGAATACGTGAAGCGAACTAATTGACTTATTAACGATTACTATAAAACTGGAAAATTGCTTGCCTAACAATTCAGAGCTTACAAGATTAGATTGTGGTTAAAGTTCACTTATATACAGAGCGCTTCTTCCTCATGTTGTTTTGCTTTGTTGTAGTCAATAAACCTTCCTAGTTGATTATAAGTTTATGTAAATAAAACTACATACACACACGAATTAAATTTAAATGTAATTATAAGTTAAAAAACTCGCACGAGCATTAACCGTCTTTGTTTCCAACTTTTAAACCCACTACGCCCGGTTGATTCGGTGTTTTTGCACTTTGAATTAAACGCGCAATGGAATTTTGGCACACAAACACTTTCTCTATTATTAATGCGATTCTGCAAATAAGTCATTACCTTGATGACCAACTTTGACGGCTAATTACCTTGAAATGGAATTGAATCATATTTTCAGACAAGACCCTGCGTAATACAGTTCTTATCTAATTTTGTTTGTAATGGATGGAGATGATTTAATTACAAATGTTTATCTATTAGCGAGTCAAGTGTGTTGCATAAGCTCTACAAAAAGACATGTCAAAAGATTTTTCTTCACGTCATTAAAAGAAATTATTACTCGCCACTAGCAGAGCATAGTTAATTAGTTGTGTGTCATGAAAATTAAAAAATGAAGCAATCTAAACGCTCAAAAGAAATTTGGAATTTTAAAGAAATTTGCCCCCATTTCAAAATAGTCAATCCGTAATCCAGGCCTTCCGATGGAACAAAGTCACCTAATCATTTTCTGTCTTAGTTTCTATACTGATTTTTATAACTTTGTCTAAAAGGTTCGACTCTAAAATGACATGAGTTTGAAATTGAACTGGCACGATTATTAAGTACTTTTTAAACGATACAATTGAAAAACTGACATGTATCTCAATCAAACTGATAATCGACCGAATATTGACGTTGTGCTAAATGGTTAAATATTTGAGAGTTCAGAGGTTGTGTCCAAGATAAGGTGTCTGATCTTCGAAACCATAGAAGATACAGTATCGTGCTGCTAAAAGCGTATTTAGTGTTAAGATAGGGTTGGTTAAATATCAGATACGGAACGAAATTAAGAGGAATGCTATTTGCCCACCGGTCATTAACGTATCATTAACGAAGACAGCCATTAGCAAGAGAAAACCGCAAATTCATGAAAACAACCGTCTGTACTCAAGTAACAAGATACGAAGGACCGCAGACGATTTTCAGTAGCGCAATTTTTTGACACTCAACTCGCATTTGGAAACGCTACTCTTAATGCGGCTCATATTCAATAGCACTGATCCTTGAACTTTAGAGAAAAGATGTGCAATGATTAAAACTAGAAAATTCCGATTATTTCCGAAGATATGAAAAAAAAACCGAAACTTGCCGATTTCGTCGACACCATTGAGAGATTTTCAATGAATGTTTCGTTTCGGAGAAATCATCATCAACTTTATTTTTTTATATGACCCATAAAAAAGTACATATTGTATTGAGTAGCAGTTTTTATTACGAATACAACGATGTATGGCCCAAAAACAAAAGTTGGCAACTCTGTTGAGTTCAACAGGATGGTGCACCAGCGCACAATATCCTAATCCTTCTTCTATCTTCTATGGTTTCGGAGATCTCCATCCTTATCTTGGACACAGTATATAGATACCGTATTATATTATAACTAACTTAACATGTATAAACTCGTAAATAAAAACTAAATGTGACAGATTACCCTATCAGTGAAACGAAGGGTGGTAGTACATTAAATATTTTTGAGTTATCAATAGTACTATCAACATTTATGAAACTCATTTTATGATTTTCTTGGGAATTTTAAAACGGTTAATTTTACGTATTTTAAGTGCCTAGTAGTATAGGCTATTCAGAAACTGTAAGAAATTGACGAAGTGTGAGGCTTAATTTGGTGCATGATTAACGAGCTCCTAGCGAGTTCATAATTTTGTGATATCTATCCGTCTGTCTGTTAGTAACAAGAATCCTCAAGAACAGATCTAATTATTTGTATTGCTTAAACAATATGTATCCTCTTTATCTAGCAAAATGCTTAGTGCATTTTTTAAGAAAAAAATGTGCTTTTTTTGCTTTTGCTCATCCGTTCATTCGTCAGCCTGTCTGTCCGCCCGCCCGGGCTCACTTCTGCAATTTTAAACTACTTTTAGGGGAATTCTTCTAGGGTCGTATAGCCTTTTGCAATAGGTATCCTATACCTTGAAAGTGTGCCAGATGCCCTTCAAATTTTGTAGTCTTAAGGGGGGCGCTATGAATTATTTCCCGAAATGCTGTTTCTGAAAGTAAAACGTGCATAACTTTTACATGCGACAACCAATTTATCTCAGATTTGGGATTCGAATGCCTTTAGTGGTAACAAGCGTGACTTATTTTTGAGATCGCTGGATGACCTGGGGAGGGCGTGTTGGAAACGAGGTTGGAAATTACTTTTATCGTTCATGGCATTCTAATTCGTCTAATCGTTTCCACGAAAGCTTTTAAGAGATTGACAAAAAAGGACATTGCGATCCTCGGGGAATGATCAGTGCGCGTTACGTTTAATAAACATTCGAAAACTTTACCATTAGTCGTGACAAAGGGCAGTTTGTTAGGGCGGTTTTGGGCGCGTAATGTTGCTTTCGCGCTTTGACCTTAAAAGTGATGCGGAAATAGAGAGACTATTCAGACAAGGTGTATCGGGACCGTGGAGAGCCTACGCAGACGACGCAGTGTAATCCGATGGCTCAATATTCGTATCAGTACCCTCAAAAGGGCATTGCAGGTTCATGTTATCCAATTGGCTGTAGTACCGGGATGTTTCCCATACTTCGATGATATTTTGTTAGCAGCGGGAAACGACCAAAAGTTGCTGAAAAGTATTACGGAAATATTACTCAGATTTTCTGACGATGGGCTGTAATTAAAACGAAGCAAGTGCGTTTTCAGGACATCGAATTTCTGGGTCTCTTTATAAACGAGGAGAGGGTACGTCTAATCGCAGATAAAGTTCAGAATATCAAGGATGCGCCATCTCCATCATGTAAGGAGGTACAATCATTTTGGTAAACTTTTGTCACGCCTTTCTAAAGGACAAGGCAAATTGTTCCTAAAACTTGGTACACATCGAGATAGGAAGAACGATGAATAGAATAGAAGACAACATGAGCATTGTAGAAACCGCGGCAAGAATCATGTACCAAGAAATACGATCCCAAGTTTACCACTGATCACTGTTGACTCTCTTCCCATCAATGACCGGCTTTATGGTTCAGTGCTAGAGCTTTGGACTATAAATCCGTCAGTCGGGTGTTCGAACATGGATTGAGGTGAATTTTTCATCTGTGGCAGAGATGGAAATTACCTTAGACCAGTTTCAAGCATTCTGCCGGCCACTCCGAATTAGGTTTTCCTGCAGTTTTTCTAATTCGCAAGGTAAATACCGGAGCAGTATAGAACAACTTAAGACCTTTTGCACAGGCACCTTTAAAAAGCATTATGCGGGTCACCCTGTAATTGGACGCAAACCTGTTGAGGACCCAGAACAAGAAAGGGATAATAAATAAATAAATAGGTGTAAAAATTGATGATTTCTCCGAAACGAAACTTTTTATTGAAAATTTCTCAATGCTGTTTTATAGAGCTTAAAAAGTAGCAACGAGAAAGTGTTTTTAATGTTTTTGTATGGGTTCAAATAACATCACAAAAATAAAAACCATCGGCAAATTTCGTTTTTTTTGGCATATCTTCGGAAGTAATCGGAATTTTCTGGTTTTCTTTACGGCACAATAATAACCCTTTAATTACGAACCTGTTTCTTAATTTGACCATCGTCGTATCTAGTATGGTGTCCGAGATCCCATCAAGATCTCCTTATCTTATAAGCAATTTAGGTATGAAGCAATCAAAATTTGATTTGTCTTCACATTAGGTTTTTGCTCAAAGAATGTCAAGATCTATGTTTATGCATACAAGAGAAAATCAAAACTCTGTGTTTGGTACCCAATACGTTCATTATGATAACGAAATCGTCACGGTGGCAACACTCGCGTATGGGTTTTGATCAATTTTTCTATCAAAAAGTTGTCCACCAAAGGTTCAATTAACAAAATCGACTCGACTCAACAAGTAAAATATGGGCCGCCGACTCTTTTGATAAAATAAATGTTAGATTTCTACATCTGCATGCGATTATGTATGTATGGAATATATTATGAAGGAATGTAAACAATTGCACATACCATTAATATTTACATTTTCACGAAAGGTTTGTATCACAAACTGTACGAGAACCGAAAGGTAACTCAAAATGAACCGGCAATTTTTTTACGGTTTTTTACTGCCAAATGGTGAGTATTTAAATTCTATAGATGAATCTGTGGGAGTGCTTCTATAAACTACTTTCATCTCGTATCCTTGAAAATCAAACGCACTGAATATACAGAAAGTTTGAAATCACTTTTGACTAATTAAAATGAGGACCGCTATTTCTTGGTCAATAAATGTACAATATTCTCACCTAATGCTTCATTTGTATAACCTTTGTGCTTGGTACGTCGCGATACAGTGCCATTACTATTACTAGTGTAAATATAGGTAGGTGTCAGAAAATGTTTGCGTTGTTTAATCAAGACAGGATATTTCTTGGTCAATAAATGTACAATATTCTCACCTAATGCTTCATTTGTATAACCTTTGTGCTTGGTACGTCGCGATACAGTGCCATTACTATTACTAGTGTAAATATAGGTAGGTGTCAGAAAATGTTTGTGTTGTTTACACAAGGCAGGATTTTTACATAAAAAATTAAATTCAATACACATTTCGATTCACTAACGTGTAGAGGTAAAACACACTCATTTTTTATTATCGGTTATTACTATTAATCTCGATTAGGATGCCGTTCTCTAGACGTATTATTTGTACTGAGTTACAAGTGCGCAAAAGTTACCTACTTAGCTGAGATAGTGTGAGATAAACTGAGAGTGACACTCGCTGATATTGGGAACATTCCTGGTCTCTGCAGAGCTTCCTGTAGTCATGGTCGTGACGAATTTCGTCCCCTCTCGCCTTTTGATTAGGAATTCCTAATTCGAATCGAATGCGCGGCCGCTGGGTTAGATCATGAGTTTGTGGCGCTATCTGAAGGCAGAAATGCTATCATCATTGGAAGATAACGACAATTGGTATTACTGACGGATAACAGCCAATTTAGGCGATAATCATGATCGAATACCTAAAGTGCCGAAGACTGGTGTTGTTCGTATGCTCTTTGTTGAGCTATGTTTCAGATGTGCGGAAAACGTCTAGATAACATATCTTAATAGGTTACAAATTTAAATGACCTTATTTTAGACTAATAATTTTAATAGAAACTTCATTTTCATAAATTCTTTTATTGGTTGGCTCGAAAAGGGCAATTCAAATCATATAATTTGATTTAAGTCTTTGTCTAGTACGAAATGTTGCAAAAATGCTGAGACTCTAAAGGGAAAGACCATAGTTTAATTACATACCGATCCCGGCGATACTTGTGTGGAAATTAGCCAGACGTAATTCTGAAGAACAAAAATATCTGAGCGCAAGTGTCCATGATTCGTGGCATCCTGATTGAACCAATCCTAATTTTCGGAAAAACAACCTCCGCATCTTCTGCAAGTTTAAGTTTTAAAGAGATAAGTGGCAGTCAAGAGTTTAGGGGAGGTTGCTGCATAGAGTGGACCTTCCCTCACATCATGTACACACGAAACCGGTGCAAAAATTCCGGAGGTTGTTCGCGGTGTTGTCGTCTGAGTATTAGGAGTGTTGCTGAAATCGCAAACATTAATAATACATAATACATTAAAACTTCCCTGCTTGTGCATAGATTGAGCATATTCAGTTTCAACCATTTTTTCAAGATTGTTTAAAAATGTTTTCGCGTTTTATAAAAGTGATCTTAGAATAATAACAATTGTTAGGCAACTCAAATAACTCCTGTGGTTCTAAGCGCTAACCTAAATTGTCCACACATTGAATATAAAAGGTATTATAGCGATAAGAATCTATAAACTCTTATTTATACGTTGTCTTGTTGACTGATACTATCATGACCAATTCATAATATAATATATATTTGATCAAGTTTTCAGGCGAAACTAAGCGGGTACAAATTCTAATTTTGTGGGTACAAATTAGTCTTTAATTTATAAGTACATATATTTTCATTAACTCCAAGAATTTTCATTTTTTAGTAAAAAATTGTTTAAATAAATCTAATTTGGGTACAAATTAATCTTTAATTCATTGTTTTTTTGATGCAACTAATAAAATTTCAATCAGAAATAATGGGGGTGCTAAGTTGATGGTTACTTAGCACCCCCACCTTAGAATCGGTTTTCCGGCGGAACTAAGTGGGTACAAATTCTAATGTTGTGGGTACAAATTAGTCTTTAATTTATACATTCCATTTATTTTTATTAATTTTGAGAATTGCCCTTTTTTAGTAAAAAAATTGTTTAAATTTAACAATGAAAATCCAGTTTGGTAACAAATTAGTCTGTAATGAATAGTTTTTGATGCAAATATTAAAATTTCAACCGGGAAAAGTGGGGGTGCTAACTTGATTTCAAGTTAGCATCCCCACTTTGAAATTGGTTTTCCGGCAGAACAATACAAAGTATTTTTCACAAAAAGCTTCCAAGGCCTCAGATATTTTTATGTTCGAAGGACCTGAAGAAATCTGCCTTGACAAAGTCGTTCATTTCTCGGTAATCTGTCAAACCTCCTGCTACCTTCATGGGTTTCATAAGACTGCTCTATTATTATTTATTTATTTATTTTTATCCCTCTCTTGTTCTGGGTCCTCGACAAGCTTGCGCCAAATTACTGATAATGCTTTTTAGAGGTGTCTCTTCATTGCTGTCCACCTTTTCCTTTAATTCTACCATTTCTTGAAGATACAAATGGGCATGCTCCTTAAAAGTTAAAATGTAAACTCCAGTCTCCAGAATAAGTGTAACCTCCATGTTCCATGTACTGTAACCACAATTTACCAGTTCTAAAGACCTTTGCGCTTTCTAAAACGTTTCAATAGAGTTTTTTTTTATATATTATATTAACTGGATCGGCGCACATGGGTCATACACAGCTAGTTTAAAATTATTGTTTAACTAAATAAATAAATATATAATATAAGATGTTAATAAGAAAATAATAAATAAGAGTAATAGTAATCTAACTATGAACACTTTTAATCACCGTCATCAAGTAGGATATCCTGTGGAAGTCTGGGTTTTAGTCTAAGGTTTTGTGATCGTTGACCAAGTGCGTAATAAATTGAACCCGGACAGTTTCTCAGATCATGAAGAAATTTTGTTGTTGTGGTTTTTATGAATGCACTAATTGGAGAAATATTGAGTTCGCGGCTGACTTGAGCATTACGCACAAACCAGGGGGCATCGGTAGCTATTCTTAACACCTTGTTTTGGAACGTTTGCAACTTACGCAGGTGAGTGTTTGATGCGGTCCCCCAAATTGGACAAGGATACATCAGGGCTGATCTCAGGATTGATTTGTAGATCAATACCGCACATTCAGTTTTCAATGGTGAGCTCTTATTTAGTATAGGGTATAGCAATCTTAATTTATGATGTGCGTCGTTCAACTTTAGGTTTATATGTATTCCCCATGTTAGTCTGTGGTCCAAGTGTACGCCAAGGTATTTAACAGCTTGATCCTTGCGATTCCACGGTATTTGCCTGCCATTGATTTGAATGCATCTTGGATTGCTGTACCTTCTTAATGTGAAGATTTTTGTGACACATTTCGTTTCGTTGAGTAGTAGGTTCCATCGGTTATACCAGCTACTAATTTCATCTACGGCTTGTTGAAGAGCCCCGATGGCTGTATCCAAATCAGAACTGTGTGTTACTATGGCTGTATCATCAGCAAACATGGAAAGAGAACAATTTACTGGGACAGGAATATCGTAAGTATAAATGTTGAAGAGTAAAGGGCCAAGTACAGACCCCTGCGGCACACCTGCTCTAATACTCTTGATATTTGAGAGTGTTGAATTGATTCTGGTAGAGTACGTTCTATCACATAGAAAGGAAGATGTAATGTTGATGATGTAGTTTGGAAATTCAAGTTCTAGCATTTTATGTAATAAGCCCGCATGCCAAACCTTGTCGAATGCCTGTGCGACGTCTAAAAATATTGCAGCAGTATATTGCTTGCTTTCAAGCCTTGAACTATACTTTCTGTGATTCGAAGAAGCTGATGGCTAGTAGAGTACTTGGAGCGAAATCCGAATTGGAACTCTGGAAGTATATTCTTTTGTCTTAGGTAATCATCGATGCGGGCATGAATAACTTTTTTTCACTCGCGAGAGTGAAAGTCCGTTTCTATGACCACAAAATAGGGACTGAAATGGCAAATTATTCCCTAGGGAAATAATAATAATGAAAACTCCCTGATGCTTATATAATCATTTATTAACACAACTCAAAAAGGTACATTGTTTATATTTAAATTAAACGTGATATTCTCGCATTTTGAGAAATTAATTGGTGGTATTGATCAACATATTTGAATCAGAAGAACTGGTTTCTGGTATGACATTGCAGATATTAGAACTACAACTATCCCCTTGATTAATCCGATTAGCAATATTAATTTTATTGGCGATACAGTTTTCAATATAACTTTCCGCAACAGTTGTAGATTTCCACCCACCGTGCCGCTTTATAGTGGTAATATCAGCACCCGCGTCCGCTAATAGGGTAGTGGACGATCGGCGCAGACAGTGTCCCGTATATAGTTGGGGGTTTGGTAACTTTAAGAAACTTGCAATCGTTGATGGTACTTTGCCAAGCGTATTCTTGCCAACAGGCTGAGTCGTACATTTTCCATTCTTGTAAAAAATGAAAAATCGTTGATGTTGTATTGTTTCAGGTCTTAGTGCTGCGTACTTGCGAATTAAATGAAGAAAATCTGTACCATCTATGTTTCCTGTTATTACGAAGGTTCTAGATGTCTTGTTTTTGGTAAATGGTAACGTAATTATGAAGGAAGATCCCATATCGTTAACGTTATGCGTGGTTAGATTAACTAATTCGTCAGTGCGACATGCACCACTTATTCCGAAGATTAACACAACCTAATGCAACATTGTTAGTACGAGTATGTTTTTTAAAGCCTAATCTATTTTACCTTTCGCATTAGATGGGCATCATCGTCAGCTTCAGACAAAAATGTTTTCACCTCTTCTCTGTTTAATATCTTTGATTTTTTGGGAGCATACCCATCTGAATTTCTTTTTAGAAATGATACCAGTTTGCGGAATTTACTGATATCGATGTTGTCATATATGAGCATGCAAGACCTCACCATAGAATATTGCGCCCACACCGTGGAACACTTATAATTTTTAGCCTTTTCGCTAAAATAAACCAACATGACATTTTCGGAAAAAGTCTTCACACTTTTTTGTAGGCACCAATCTTTAAAACTGTGGTATGCTGCTTCATACAATTTTTTGGACCTCGCGGGCAGTAAATTGGTAACAGTAGCGTTAGCAGCTTCAGTAATCTCAAAAGGTTCTTCGGAAAAACTAGCAGATTCCATAATTTAGACCCACGCACGTTTTCACAAAAACACGATATTTGTTTATTGGTTGGCATGGAAGTCAGACAAAGGCATGGAGGTTGCTAACGTGATTATTATTGTGCCCTAATACCTGCTTGTTGCCATGATACAGTTTCAATACTCCACTAACACGATTAAAGGGGTTCTAATGAAAAATCTTTGACTATATTTAAAGTATAAGTAAACATCCTCGCGAGTGAAAAAAATAGTATATACACCGCTGGAGAGAAATGGCGTTTTTCCCTTGGTGCCTTGTGGCCCTCGGGCTTCGCCCTCGGGCAACAATAACACCGCGGGAAAAATCAACCATTTCTCTCCCTTAATGTATAATGTACTATCTCTAACAATTTAGAGATGGTACTCAACAGACTTATGGGACGGTAGGACGAAGGTGAGTGGCCCGGTTTTCCAGGTTTTTTAAAATGTATGACATGGGCATGCTTCCAGGCAGTAGGGAAGTATCCCGTAGCAAGACTGGCATTGAAAAGTCTTGTAGATAGGGTCACAGTCTAAGGCCTATTAAACGTAAGTTTATGCAATTTGACGAAAATTAAATAAAAGTTTATAACTGTTTCGTTAGACTAGCTCATGTAGAGAACAGTAATTTTTAGAAGTAAAAAATATTAACTTTTATGTAATAGTATATTAAGATACAAGTGTATAATCAAGGCTTTAAAGCACGCGCAACGAGTTTAAGGGCACGACGCAAAGCGGAGTGCCTTTAACGTTGCAAGTGCTTTAAAGACCAATTATACACGTGTATCTTATAGTATTTTTTATTATACCTGCAGTATAATTTAAAAATAGGAAATACAATGAAGTCATATTGACGTTATACTCGAATACATGTCTAATTAAGTGGGCTGGGTGTTCGTAATTTCACGATTGCCATGGAAATGTCACTTGACGTTTGCTTATAAAAATCATCGTCTTTGTGAATTAAACGATTTCCGTTGAAAAAGATAATACACCGGCCTATAAATCGATTGTTGTAAAAACGTTGGTGTTGGTGTAAAATCCAACTCCAGTAAAGCCTATTATAAAGAATATGAAAAGTTCTTTCCATGGATGAATAGGAAGTTACTTACGAATACAGTCTTAAATGCATCCATAATGCTGGCATATATGAAGGAAATGCCAAAGGTATTTATATCTTCTATATTTTGGTGCATTCATTCAAAACTTTAAAGCAATGCTGCGATTAAAAAGTGGATCAAATTTGGAAACATACCCTAAATTACGCGCGTTTGTGAAAGCTTCAACCAAAGGATAGGTACAAAAGCCAAAGAAATGTTCTGCATTTACAGAAAGCGACCTAAGAGGATTTTTTATTTCATCCAGATGACAGTTTCAAAAGTCATACTTGAAGTATCGTTACTTAGCAACTTTAAAGACGTGTGTTTTAAAGGCCCTTTTTCGCACGCATTTGAGTGTTTAAAACGGAGATTGTGATTCAGGTATAATAAAAAATATGGTTTAAACAGAGACTTGTTATAACTAGACCGCGCGTAACGTAGATTTTACTATAAACGCCTGTTGTCAATATAGGATAGGCAACCAACTGTTCATTGCGGGGCAGACGTACGTTCTGCAGCTTGCTTTAGCCATGTTTATTCTAAATTTTAGTAGCAAAAAGAGATAACATACAGCTGTTAACTGTTTTAATCGAATTTATTGGTATTTTATTTGAAGTAAATTGATATATAACTGCCTTACTCTAGTCCTAGTTTGATTTATATGTGTATTTTGGTGGTGAACACGTATGGGAAAATATACTCTTAAAACTAAAGTTGTAAGTAGTAAGATATGATTATTTAGCGGATTTTGATTCAATATATTCCTATCCAAAAACCCAAATGGGCTGTAACTGTTATTTATTTTTCTTAGACTGCTGATAACCATTTTGTTTACAACGCGGTGTGGTGTGGATTGAATGAAAAACCTGAACACATTTTCAGCAATTTGGCAAATTTTTAATGCATCGCTTGATACGTGCAACAATCCTCCACGATGTTTTCTAGTTAAAAGCTTTGAATGACTCTCTGATGCGAATATCGCATCTGCACATATGGAACATTTAACAGACTTACCTATTTTTCTTGTAACAAAACCTGAAATATACTTAGGTACTGCCGTTGTCTTGCTGGTAAAGGATGTCGAATAATAGTTCTACGTTATTTTAAGTGAATGGGAAAGTCGAAAACGCTCGGTATTGCATTATTGTTTAACACCTTCGTAGGTACCTTTCTAAAATCGGCTTCATTCCCCGCAAAATGCATTATGGTGGGAGTAAATTTTTCTCTTCGAATGGCTCTGATCCATTGGCCCTTTAAACTTTTATCCGTTGAAAATCAGCGTATTATTTAAAAATTTATCGACAGAGTACATGTTGATAGGCACAAGTTAACCTAAGTTTATTGGTTTATTCTCAACAGAAATTTATCTGTTCACTAATTCGAGCTAATCACGAGAATGATTAATGAACGGAACATCTAAAATATCAGCTTATTTCATTATATTGCATATCATCTCAGCGATTTTTGCCCCGCGGTGCATTGTGTGTTGCATACTGTGTCGACAACACCTTAGATACGTTAAGCGCAGTCTAGTTATAGCAAGTCTCTGGGTTTAAAACATCAAACAAGGTTAATAGTGCTGAACGGCCATTTTTGATCCACCATTTTGGATGGAAACTAAATGAGAAGTTAGGAGACTTTTCAGGGTTGGTTTTACTAGTCATAAAGAGTCGATCCTCAAATTTTCATCTCATTATGAATTAGTGGACTATCTACCTACTTTTCGTCCTAAAAGTACTGGGCTATAAATAATGAAAAGGATGGAATATTTTGAGCCACTTCAGGGGTGATTACTGGAGCCATTATCGATAGCATCAGACCTTGCACCAGACTCATTGTGTCGGTGGTGGTGCTTTCGCTTCCTCCTCCAGTATTTTTCTCCATACCTTGGAAATATACATACAATTAAAAATGACAGAATCCTTTCATGATTATATTACGTTTTCACATATTTCGGCAAGTAAAGCTTCTTCTGGTCTTGCGCCATTTCTCTATAGAAAGCTTTTTTAAATTGCTCTCGATACCTTTCTTTTTAGAAACGTGCCAATAATTAAATATCCTCCCTCCCAGGCTTGCTGTTTCTGCAGAAGTATGTGAGATCTCGTCTAGATGCTTACTAAATTGGAAAAAAATCAGTATTTGGAAAGGATATAAGACTAAAGGCATGCAGCATCAAGTGCTTAAATTATACTATTTTTGTTATTGTATTTATTCTAGCAGTTAAAATTATATGTTGGGGTAAGCTCCAATTTCAATCAAATTAAGCAGTCTGATGGTATGTTATTCCTATAAAGGAGGTACAGTAATGGTCCTAGCACACTTCCTTGTGGAACTCCGCTTTATTTCTGAATAGCGGTCTTTGTGTTTTACTTTGAAGTGTAGGTATATCTGAAATGTAGGAATTCAGTGTTGTTTAGGCAGGCGTCGAGAAATATAGGTAATGGAACGGATGTTCTTTTTTTCTGACGTACTCTCGATTGTGGTTTTAATCCTATGAACCTGATCAATCGTTGAATGCCTGTTTCTGAATCCAAATTGATGATTTGCAATTAATTTTTTTTCCTTAATAATCGGTGTAAGACGCATTACCAGTAGCTTTTCCAATAATTTCGATATCGTTGGAAGTAACGAGATTGGTGACTAGGACGTTTTCTTATTTTCTAGGTTTAGGAATCATTATCACCTGTGCTATCTTCCATTGTATAGGGACAAGTCTTAGTCTAAATGCTTCGTTGATCAGGTATATTAGTTTGACGTCAAATCCTGGTGATTTTTTGGTACAAATATTTTGGAATGTTTTCTTCAGTAGTTTGTTGGGGATATGGCTGGATCTGCTACAGTTGATTGAATTGATGGTTTCAGATGCAATTTATTGCACCTCTTCGTCACTTTCCAAATGTATACTTCAGTGCTTTTTTTAGTTTTGAAAAGAGCTTTAATTACTGGCCGCCGAGATACAATTTTCGAAATGGGTACGATCCCGATATTAAGAATTTTTATAAGCTCACAAACCTTGTCAAAATACAAAACAATGATATCTGAACACAAAGCAGTACATTTGTTTTGAATATTAACAAATTAATCTGGTGATATTTTGATGCCCCAAGAATATAAAATACCTACTCCATGGGATCGTTTATGTCACTGAATATGCGTCCTTACCATCGATACCTAGAATCAGTCTACAGAAAGAAGGAAATAAAAACTGCACTTTAATACTTTATACAGTTAACTGTATCACAAAGACGTTTATTTTATATTGTCACTAACGATTAACACAATTCTAAGACTAAAAATAGACAAAAAGCTAAATAATAAATACAAGTCCTACCTATTATATCACTGATAAATTAATAAATTAACCTTTCAACACCGTGCGGTATGCTCAATCGAAATATTGCGTAAAATACTTCTCTGCATCAACAAACGTAGGGACAACACAGTCCCAGTACCCTGAACGTTAATACAAATTATAAACAATAATAAAAACATTTATCTAACGGAATACAACTTCCATCTCAGCAGAACAAAAGCTAACGTCCTTAAAAAGAATAGAATAATGAGTAGAGCGATAATATCGTTCCAGAACTGATCTCCGGTCATGGCGATTTCGGCCAGAATCTTTTCTGGATACTTGTAATGGCAGTACTCCTCCTCGGGGCAGAATAAGACAGGCCTATCAAGCCCGTAAATGGCACCGACCATGCCCTCCAAACCGTAGCGTAGGTAGGATATGTAGCTCCCCCACTTCAGATAGCTGGGGAGGTCGCGGAGCGTCACGCCGAAACCGGCAAACATCATCATTGGCACAGATAGACAGGGGCCCATGAAAGTTCCATTCTGAAATGAAGAACGCGTTAAAGGCAAACATGCTGGGCGGGTACTCTCGACTTACAACAACGTTAAAAACGGCACCGATCATGAGGCCGAAGCTTTGCGCGACGAAAACTGTGAGAAGGCTCAGCGCTGTGAACATTCCAAATCTGTTCCACTCTAGTGGTTGCCCAGTCATCCAGTACATAATTACACTGAAGAGAATGCAGCAGAATATCTAGAAGATTTTTGTAAGTGTAAGTCATTTAGTTGCGAAATTTACCGAGAGCGGAACATCCATAATAGTGAGCGAGGCGTAGTACATCTTAAGCGAGTACCACCTATTAAAATGTTCCTTGGTCAGAACGCCCAACTCACTTGGAACTAAAAATGAAATTAAAACACAGTCCCCGACCAAACAAAGCACTTACATGTGAGGATCATCATCATCATTGGCGACATCATCTGATGCATCAACACCGAGAAAATCAAGTTGTAGTTATCCAAGACCTTCCCTCCGTGATTCCCCGCTTGCCAGTATAAAACTCCGAAGAGTAATCCAACGGAAATGTTGACGATTATACGCATGTAAGTCAACGTAACGTCCCTCTTTGATTTGATAAAAGCTCGTCGGCAAAGCGTTTTGAATTGGTTCCACTGTGAGGTGCTTTGGAGGTGGGCGGGCTTTTGCTTTTCCAATTTGTGCTTGTTATTTTCTGAAATTATTAATCAGAAAGTTGCAATTCCGGCTGTCGGAAAGGCTCACCTTTCAATTTATTGAGGCTGGGTAAAAATTCCGGCTTATCGAACCACCGGTGACTTCTGCCGTTGTCGGTTTCGTTGACCATTCGTTCAACCTTTTCGGCTCCATATTCACCGCAAGCTAATTCGATGACTGAAAATTAAAGGAGATTAATTTATACTAATATGGAGTCAAATAATGAAATTAAGATAGAAAAATGGTTGCCTCCTCTTGAAAAACTATTGCCATTGCCGTATTCACGGATGGACAACGTTTCATTGTTTAACTCATGGCTAATACGTTGATTCTCAAAATTTCACTGGAATTTGAGAAAAAAGGTAAATACAGAAAACCTGGCACAATTAAATTATTCAGGGAATTTTTAGAATTTGATAATTTTGAAATTAAGATATTTTGTTTTTCTTAATTTTAGAATTTGTTTACAATAAATTTGGTCATAAACTCCCAATGTGATTCTGCAATTATGCTTGCAATTTGTTAAGCAAGTTTTCAATTTTATAAATAAATTATTTTTTTAATATTCAGTATTTTTCGCTGTCACTTGGCTTATACTCGAATTCTAAAATTTGTAAAGATTTAAAATCACACAAATTTCTTCATTTTAGTAAAGTTCCAAGTCCCAAAAATTTGAATCCTTTTTCAAAGTGTCCAAATTTGCGTAACATCGAATCAAACAATTTTGAGATATTCGAAAACGGTCGTTACAGATTAAGTGCAAAAAAGATCGTTATTTGAGATGTGTAAATTTGGATTTTAGAGATTGAACAAATATTCTTCAAGAACTCTAGAAATCTTTTTTGTAAAACCATACACATTTAAGTCTCTCCTAGAAAGTCGTAGTATTACTATTTCTCAAAATTTCAATAAAAACTTACTTTACAACATTTTTGTTGGCTCATACAAAAGCTTCAATTTTATTCTTCAGAAATTGTTTAAAAGTTTCAGGAGTTCGTCGGTAAGAATCTTATAAAGAATATTTTTGCAGCAGCTTTTTAAAAACTCTGAGAACCTCAGTATGAATGTTCGGGTTCGGGGACGGGTTTTCTGAGTCTATATAAAGGTTTTAGAATTGGAAATATTTCCAGATTTTCTTTTAAGGAGCTTTTTTAGTTCCCCTTAACTCCAGTTGCTACAATCTCTAAATAGTATCAGATTATGATTTAACACTGGTTGAAAAGGGCGACAAACCAGGAAATAATAATAGATTTACAAGGTCAATACACATAAAAATAAGGGGCTCGGGCATAACACCCATTTTGATGAAAGATCCAGGTGAAGGTGATAACTTTGTTGTAAGAAATGAGATGCAGTCTTAATTTTCCTGTTGTGGTACACGAAAATTGTGTTGATGTAAACAAAAATAGGAAGCATAATGTGCCATTACAAAATTAGAATGCGATAACCGTTATCGCTGCTGATAACCTTTGGGTTATATCTTGTTGGATTTAGCATCACACTCACCAAAATCGGCAGGATTGTGATACTGCGGACATGGCAGATTCACAGCTTCCAGAAACGGTATCAGATTTTCTGTGCTGCCCTGGTACAGGCAATTTCCATCGGATAGTACGTAGACCAAGTCAAAGAGTTGGAACAGCGTCGCTGACGGCTGATGAATGGTACAAACGATCGTCCTTCCTTGTCTTGCCAATTCACGCAGTAACCTTACGCACTGGCTACAAGATGAACTATCCAAACCTCTGAAATATTAAAAAAAACACACACACATTTAAAAACACTTTGACTCTTGATAGTAGGTCGCTGCTGACGTATTCGTTATCAATTGCTGAATTAATAATTTTGAAAATACACGTGTAACGCTGATGTACTCACGTTGTCGGCTCATCAAGAAACATCACGACTGGATTATCGATCAATTCCAACGCTATTGAGAGCCTTTTTTTCTGACCACCGGAAAGTCTACCGGCCCTCGTTTCGGCCGTCTCCTCCAAACCCAAAGTTTCCAAAATCTCCCGTATCTGCAAACGTAAAAAATGCATGCCCCAATTGTTTTCATAACAGTCAATTGTGATAAGAACTTTACAATAACAAAGCTTTAGAATAACAAAGTCAATTCCGGTGGAGATGCAGCGGATACAATTTTTGGGGCTGTCAGTTTTTTGCTCGTTTCGTATGAAGAGTGCGTTATTCTCAAAGGTCGTTTACTTGATTTACGGTATAGTAAATAGCCCGATACCGCGTGTTATCTCAGTGAAAAGTTCGTCGACGTAATTAAAACTGTGCAATACTATACAAGTTTTTCACCACTTGCGCTTCCAAATATCTTCGTTATCCCCGGCAAGATTCTTGGTGGTAAGGTTACGCACAACCTTGAAAAAACCAGGGCGTGTCATTAGTCGACATTAAGATAAATCAATTAATATTCAAACCCACTATGTTTTTCTGGACTTTGACTACACCTAAGCTAAACGTCACAATATTGGGTAATTATCAAAATGTAAACATTAGATTGTAGCCTGACGTAAGAAGCCGAAGGTCCGTTTGTAGTTTTCACTTATGCAATTCAATTAACTCGGGATTTCGAATCTAACAACAGATGTTGATAGAGAAATTTCCGATTTTGTGAATGTAGGTCAGTAATGCGTTACTTACGTTCGCTCCAACACTTTCTTAAAACAGTTGGCAAACCTTCATTTCGGTATATAATTTTGCTTTACGTTCTCAATACCACTTGGGATTGTTTGTTATTTAATGTTATAGAGATAGCAATGGAGGGGTCGATCTACAATCAATACTTTCAACCAACAAAAATGGTCATTCAATTCTACACAAACAATTCGATTTAATCATTTAATCGTTGTTTTTGAGAATACCGAACTCTATTTTACTGAGCACTGGAGAACAAGGAAATGTTGTGGGAATGCATCAGGTACTATCGCAAATCATTTTTCTTTTCTAACCCTTTCGTTTGGGAAACTTCGCATCAGTTGAAGGTATTTCTTCCACGGTGTGCAGTGCCCTCTGTCCAAACATGCTCCATGTGCCTATCGTAACATCGGGGCTACATGATGTGAGGTCGGCGACATCTGGGCGCCATCCCCGGATGTGTTATAGTAACGTACTGATTTTTCAGATTTTTGCCCATCGTGTTCTACAGCAGTGTTTCTCAACGGGCGCCATGACGTATTTTTTGGGGATCACGAACGAAAGAATATTGGTAGGCCACCTTTTCAGTGGTCCATGAAAATTCTGTTCTACAATATCTTACTGAAATATTGAAATTTACCCAAAATGGCCGGTACAAAAATTATACCACAATAAACCCTTATCCCTGTTTATGTTATCTCAGTGTACCTTTCCTAGAAAGCAATAAATCCTAATCACAACTTTAAATTTAAATGTTTGTAAATGGCAAAAACACAATGCAATTGATTGACGCGATACCGAAAAATGTTGTTATTTTTTTCTAACACGACTAACACTCCTCTATCGCTTACAAGAATTATTTTTCTGTAAAGATTAGTTTTTCTACAACCTAAGACGCATTTTTGAAAAAAATTTCAGCGTCAAAACAATATGAGCTTGAAAATGTTTTCTTGATAACTACAAAATAACTCAAATTAATTTTGATCTAATTCTAAAGTGTTTGAAATATGGAAATGCCACATTTAATGGCGTATATTCTATACATTTTTGTGGAGTCTGCGAAAGACGAAAATGAGTCTAAAAACTCGTAGGTATAAAGCTACTAAAATTTCAAAAAATTTCCCGTGGTATTAACCCCCCCCCCCCTCTCCTGGAATTTCATACCTCCCCCCGGACTCCACCGGGCTAACGCGGAGAGAGATAAATAACATTCACAAGTAGGCCATCGGTGAAAAAAGGTTGAGAAACACTGTTCTATAGTTTTGGTCCGATTGTTTTCAATTTGATGTCGTCGCAAAGATCTTGTAAACACGCACAACTCCTGCGTTGTTTTTTGTTAGGGACGAAATTAATCACCCTTTACAAAGCGCGCTTCTTCAAGGGGTAGTCGATTTCGGGCACCCAAAAAGCATCTATTTATTTTATTTTATTTTTTTCTACTTTTTACTTTTTACTTAAAATAATAAAAAAGATTTTGTGGTACATTACTCAAAAAGGTTCAGAACCGCTATCCTATGCTGAATTGTTTTTTGCATTGATTATTGCAACCCTAATTTAATCGGCATTGGACATTTGACAGTGACCATGTTAGCAGTAATTTATTTATTTATTTCTTTACTTATTTATTTATTTATTATCCTACAGGCTTATCGCCCAATTATAGGACAAAGTAAAAATAGTATACTAGTGTACAGTGTAATTTATACTTTACAAAACAACTAACATACATAAAGAAAATAACAAAACAGAAGGACATAATGTTACGTTAATTCAAGAATAAATTTGAGTTTATCAGTTGGAAGATACTGTATAGCTTCAGGAAACGCACTTCTGCAACGTATTAAAAAATTCGAGAACATTACCCCATGAGTTTCAAAAAAACAGCGACACATTTTTCATATAACAAAATTTCCATCAAGTAGATAAATCTAGCGCAATCTAATTGGATTGGAAATTGTAAAAATGTCATGCGGAACCAGAAATATCGACAGGAACCGTAAGCGTTCTTGTTTTTTGTCATATTTTATTACCTACTGGTAATTAATGGATTGTTAATTAGATACTAATTAAGACACATAACACACATATTAAAAAAATATATTAAATAGGATTTAAATGACGTGAATTTTAATTACAAAAATTATTGTCAGAGTTAAAGAAAGATTGATTGTTTTAGGATCATAAGTTATTTACTCGTTTTACCCTTTTTGTATCCACTTCCCTTGGTAGTCCATCAGTCAAACGGGAGTAGGAAGTGAAAGGTTTTGTAGGAATTGTTTTTAGTGGTTTATTGTATGGTTTTTGGTTTGCTGAACACGAATCTGAAGGTGTCGAACAAACTTTGTTGCCGCAACTATGAGAAATAATCAAAAAACTAATACAAAGAATGTTTTTGAAAGGTTTTCAGCTTATAACTTTCCAAGCAAGCTATTTACGTAAAAAGTAAAAGAGTGTTGAAATATTAGGGAAATCAGTAATTTTTGGAAAATAGCACAAAAATATAAGTGAAGTGCATTTTTCCCTTTAACAGAAAGGAAGGACTAAAGTTAGCATATATTTTGCAAGAAGCAATAAAATTGAATACCCAAAAGCATGGGATAAATGAGAGAGTGCAACAAAATATTGGTTGCAAGGATTTTAACGAAAAAGATCTTTGCAGAGACAGTAGCTCGGACTTGAATTTTAGTGAGGAAGAGGGATGACTTGCCTAAAGTTGCAGGACATACTTCAAACGAGATGCGACACTTCGCCCGGCGCCGGCAACGTCGTCACCCCGGCAGCGAGACTTTTTTTGCTCTCAAGTGTCAATTGAGCGATCGCTACCAAGATAAGAATCACCCACCACCATGGTGTGAATCGCTTGTGTGTGATGCGAATGTTGAGTGATAAGATTGCCCATATTTTCATTTTGTTTAGCATTTAGCATTGTTCACCCGCTTCATAGTTATTTATTTACACATGTAACGCTTCATTACAAGCATTATTATTGTTCACGGTATAGTTTGTTGAATGATCCTCGTACCTTTTGGAAAGCAGTGGCTCCATCGTTGGTATTTGAACCATGCAAATTTTGCCGGCGTCGTACTTTTTGGTCTTCCTCCTCCTCTTTCTTATGTGAGATGTAGCAGAGTGCACATTATTTTAATTAAACAGCTGAGGCGTTAGTTGAGAACGCATGGAATTTTAACTGCCATCATCCATATTTTAGTATTATTGTTAGTGAACGGACAGAGAGGTTACCTTTGATTTATTTTAGGGTTTTAATTTATGGTACCAGTTTAAAGACCAGTTCAAGTGTTAGTTCAAGTTCTATTTTAATTGTTACCAGTTTAACAGACTAGTACAAACTCAATTTAATTCAACTGTAAGGACAAGGTTAAGTTAAGGAGACGTTTTTCTTACCATTCTGTCGACGCACGAGTTTGGACTGGACAACCTTGGATTAAACTAAACTAAGTGGTGCCTTATTTAAAATCATCTGTCAGGCTTCACCTAATTGTCCTAATTTCCCTAACCGATTGTAACTATCGACGTCCTGTGCCGCAGCGAACCCAGCAGTCCATAGAAACTCGGCCAAGTCAAAAAACTTCTGGCATTTTTTATGTTTTTGAATATACTTTGCGGTATGTGGGTTGCCACAAATTTTGCGATAGTGAGCCATAACTGAAGTAAAGACCTAAGCTACCTTAGAACAAATCATGTAAATATGACTCCGGTGAGATAAATGATCGGAAACACAATATGAAATTTATTATCCCTCGCTTGTTCTGGGCCCTCAACAGGATGGCGCCCAATTACAGAGTGACCCGCATAATGCTTTCTAGAGGTGCCTCTGCAGAACTACTCCGGTATTTACCTTACGAATGAGCTAAACTGCAGGAAAACCTAATTCGGGGTAGCCGGCAGAATGCTCGAAACTGGTCTAAGGTAATTCCCATCTCTGCCACAGATTTTACGAAATGAGAAATGGTATCAGAGATTATGCTTTCAAAATGAAACCCAGGATAGGTGCTAATTACAAAAGTATATACGATTTAAAGAACTTTTTACGCAGACTTTGTATGTATTTAATCTTTGCCCTCTCCGGCATGAAATATCGGCAATAAAAACGTACATATTACTGTATAATAAGTTACTTACTTTAACACGAATCACGATTGTAAAAAAGCGAGTACATTAGTAAACATGAAAACGGCATGAATATTTATAGTTCATTTAGTATTGTTTTCAATGGCTTACCTTGGAGAGTTTAATTCGCTACCATCGCATAGCCAGTTGAAATAATTTTTGATAATGGGTCACTATTAAGTATAGCTCTAAACCACGCCCATTTCAAAAGCAATCACCAACCTCTTTGTGAAAACGACCAAAGGCTATGGTCCCTTAATTGAATCCCATATCTGGTATATATGCTTTTTCTAATGATGCATTTTGCTATTGCAAAAACGTGACGTCAATAAATACTCAAAAACGATATGTAAGTGCATGTGCTTAATCTTATACACTTTGCACTTGCATCAAGGTAACCTGCCTTTGTGATAGGCGAGGATAAAGTATAAACGGGATTCAAGAATCGCCACTTCCTATTTCTTGAATTCTAATTTTTGGGGCATTTACTTACGATAGCTTCCTTTTCCTGCGCCGGGACGCGTGAGCCCAATTTTAAATCGGCAACGATCATCATGTTTTCGTGCACCGTCAGCAGTTCTTGCAGTCGATCATCTTGCGTTATATAGCAAGATAGTCGCCTGAACGCGTTCAAATTCCTCTCGAGTCCATTTGCGTAAACGGTACCGCCGATACCCGAAATGCGGTACCCGCTCAGAACGTCGAGAAGGGTACTTTTACCGGCACCCGAAGGTCCCATGATTCCGATGAGCTTCCCCGGTGGAAATCGTCCATGGATTCCGTGTAAGATTTCCTTGTTTCCTATTAACATAAAATGACAATTGGTACTCTCGATTGAAATTAGTGCAAAGGCTATAAAAGGTACTTGTACATTGTACCCTTAATCTATGATGAGTGTGCATCATGTGAACTTTGTAATGTAAATTTGTTAGAACTTCTGGTTTATTGTTATTAGACCGATGTGAAAAATTGCATGTTAACAGGAACGTGCCTAATTCGTATGTAAATAAATCATGCTTAACTCAAGGCGCTTTAAAAAATTCATTTGCGCGGTTTACTTATTTTGATGAAAGTTCCTGATACAAAAACCGGCTAACCTTGGCGCAGTTCTTTTGAACGTGAGGATGCCGTTCATCGAAGATCGGAATTTGTTACATCATAATTGTTGGTACAATGGGCACTGACCTTTTCTAAATCCAAGAGATGCAGTGTACGTGACATTTTCGAAGGCAACGTCGACAGAGTCTTTTTGGGGTAACCGACTGAACGTCTGGACCAAATCGGATTCTTGCACTGGTTTATAACAAACTTTCTCACTGTCACTTTCGCGTGTGTGCCCATTCGACATCACCACGTTCGATGCTTCGTGTAAGACGACTTCCATTGTTAATTATGGTAGTGGACGCACTACATAAGACGCGCAGCGTGTGTATATCGCGATGTTATACGTTAATCTGTACGAATAGATAGAGTTGGTCATTTATATAGCGACTAAACGTGAACCGATTAAAGTCCACATTGGGGCATTGTTTTAATTTAGCGCGCCAAATTTCGCCAACTACATGCACCTAGGGCCGAATTCGCCAGGTGCTCGCAAATTTCCGACGAGGAGATGGTACAATGCGAAAAAAACATGCATCGGTCATTGTTTTGGCCGTACTGAAATTGTGTATGTTTACATAGATATGAGAGTAAAAAAAAGTGTGATATGTGATGACACTTGGTACAAAGCTCATGGTAATAATTTCCAAAAGTTCCTTTGTCGAGGTATACGAAGTTGATATTTCTGAAACGTAGATTTTTGACACGCAAACCGTGGTTATCTTAAAAGGTATCACTTTGATAATCCAGATGAATCTATTATACCTACTTATTGAAAATCTTATCGTATTCCACTTGAGTGATGTAACCGAGTAGTAAGTGGATTTTTTAGCATGACGTAGCCGTAATTCGCTTTTTGCAAATTTGCATGTATAAAACACCTGATGGTGCATTACAATGTACATGAGGTTCACGCCCGACCCTTCTAATTAGAGAAAACTAAACCAGATAGTTTTCCTTTATTTAGAGCACAAGTTCTACTCGACATACTGTGGCGACGGTTCCCATAAGTCCTGCAGGCGTCAGAACTATTTTTGCTGAAAAAGTTCCTAGGGAAGATTTTTTTTCGTCAATGGCTTCGGTTTATCATCATGAACAACGCCATATAAATTTCTTCCAAAATTTCGTGGGAGTATATTTTTTTCAGCTTGATCAAAAAAAGATGAGACCATTTCGTGTTTTATTGCAAAATAAGTCAATAACTATCGTTTTTACGTAAAAAAATCCTCGTATATGAAAATAAAGAGAAGAAAATTTTCAACATTTTTTTTGTAGATCCCATAAATCCGCGATCAGCTGATAATAAACGTGGCATATGAATACGGATTCTTTTTTAATCTCAGGTTAAAATGTATGTTGTAAAGGATTGGGTATTTTACTAAACTAGGAATTTTTGGAAATATATAGCGATGTTTCACGTGCCGGGAAAGGAGGGTAGTTTATCAGAACTTTCGCACCCCGGGCGGTAACTTGCTACAGACCTTTGGAAGCACAACATACCAAGAGAATTTATTTTGCTGGCAAAATTTAGTTATGAAATTAGGTGTGTTTGTTAGTGCATTAGTAAGTGCATAGTTCACGCAATCACGTTAGGTCTGTTTAGTTTTTAGTGCAAGTTAACTTTGACCAACTTTCGCCAAAATATGTTTAGCGAAGGTGTCAGAATACTTTCTCTGTCTTGGCGGTACGATTAGGGGCATTATCTTAGGCGGAAACTTTAAAGGGACACTTTTTTAACCAAACCCATGGGAAAATACTCTCAATCTCACTTTAATAAGTGACGATTTTATTTGTTAAGAAGTAATCGATATGGGATTGAGGGGAACGTGGTAAAAATTAGATGAGAATTTTAGAAAAACTTAAAATCGATAAAAAAACCTTGACAAACTTACCAATACGTTTCAGAAGAATGAATTATAAATTCCGGATCAAGTTCAAGACATACATGATTGCCTTTACGAGAGTTCTAAAGACTTCTAATATAAAATTACAATGTACAAAAGTTAGATTTTCTCATACACAGACGGAATTGGCTTTTTAAGTAACCAAAGTAGAAGCTCAATACACAGAAATATAAAATCTAAAGAAGTACTAATTGGAGTTGTTGAAATGTTTCCTCCTCATTTATTAGGACGGTCCTGAATCATGTATTTCAAAATTCACCTACAAGGTATTGATAAAATTCAACCCAAACTCCCTATGACTGGTTTCTCACATTTAAATTATGTTGAAAACCTATATTGAATTCATATCAAGATCATTAATAGCGTTAGAAATAAACTATAGGTACGGTCCATTTGGCAGGGGTCAGGAAAGCTTTACCAATAGTATTCGCTTTAAAGAAATTATATTACATATTACCTGTATGGGCAAAAATTTATTCTGTATTTAGACACTTGTCCATTTACTCATATTATCAAGAAATTCAAAACTTCCAGCTATGACTTCGTCTAAATTTTTATGTTATACGACATGAATTAATAACTTTGATTACCAACTCCGTCATAAGAAGCAGAGGAAAATATCAATGCATATTTTTTATCCCCTATCTGAAGAAAATATACACATCGAAAAGGAAATATGTTTAATTTCCCGTGAATAATTGGCCAAATTTCAAATTCAACACTAATTAGGTGTAGTGGAAGTAATGAAACACCTTCAAAAGTAAGTTCAAATTTATTAAATGGAAAAGGTTCACGATATTAAATTCAAAGGGGCCAAGGGGCAACTCATACCGAATTCTCTAAAAGAAAAAAATACTTCAAGAATTACAGCACACCCATTAAGGATTGTTTTAAGATGAGGGAAAAACAATTCCCAATATTCAGTGATTAGAGTAGCACGATAGAGTTGCGCAATTCGACGAATTTGCTGTGTTCTTTATAAATTTTTAAGGTTGTAACATAATGCCACCAAATTTTTTTTTCAAAACACTTCTGCATTATTGTTCTGTGGGGATTTATTTTCATAGATTAGCGAATTGTTAAGGTTATGTATTGTTTTGTATCACTCGTATGGTACGTAAGATGGTAAGAGCGTATGAATGTACTAGACCTACAAAAAAAGTTCATACATAAATTGTAGAGAATTTTATTCTCCAACTTCTTATAAAGATATTTTTTGTGTAAAAGTACTAGTTTTTGACTTATATTGAAAAAACGTAAACAAAACCCTGTTTTTTTGTTAATAAAAAAAATAACATATTTCCGGGTCAAAATCTTGGAAGAAATTTTATGGGGGGTAAGTGCTCTATTTTCAAATTCTGTACTTCTCCTTTTTTTATTTTTACTTCTTTGGAAGTAATATTGATATGTATATCACTAACACTTGAAGACATGATTTTGTAAACACATATAAATAGTAGAAGTAAAAATTAAAAAAAGGAGGAGTGCAGAATTTGAAAATAGGGCACTTAATTAATGAAGAAAAACTTCACGTGGTATGATGTTTCACTTAATCCCTTCTGTAATACGAATTTTCTTAATTAAGCTCGAAAAAAAGGTCATAGCGATTAAACTATAATGTGAATTCAGAATAAAAAGGGCTTTAAGAATATGATGTCGAAATATCAGGGCCGTATTTAAAAATCGAAGTTAATCATGATTGACGAAACGTTGAATTAAAAAATTAACAATTCCACCGTGAAAAAGAGTGTTAAAAGTTGCTGAGGAGAAATATGATATTGGTTTAGGTCAAATGTTAACAAAATATTTCAAAAACCAAACAATTTGTCAGATGTTACACCTTTGATTGCGCAGCTTTTCTCCCATTTGACCAAATTGCATCCCTTTCTAGCAACATTTTCCAATAGTTTTTTAGGTTCTAGCATCAGAAGGACTACTTGCCGTAAATAATAAATTGTTAGTGTGGTTAGAATTTAGTGGCTATGGACGTTGGGTAAAGATAGTAATACTGATATAGAACAATTATTGTCTTTATTGTCTAAAATTGCAAACGTGATCAGGACCGATTTTCATATTAAAATCACAAGTATAGGTAATAATTACCCACCTAATTAAAATTCTACATTACTACAACGATAGGGGCAATTATACCATAATACGTTAAAAAATGATTTATAGAATGCGAATTTAATAACCACACTATTAGATGCAGAGACGAAGTGAAGGGAAAAATTACAACTTTGTCATTAATTATTGTAAAAAATAATTTATGTAGTTTTATTTTAATAACTATTTCATTCGATTCGGCCAAAATCTGCTAGAAAGGGTTTCAACTTTGTTATTAACGTAATTTACCTAAAAAGGCATGGTTTCGCAGTAATTCTCCAATGAACAACTTTTAACATTTATATACGGTCAAAGTGTTTTTCTTTTATCAGAGTTAACTGTGAAAGAGGCCCCAAACTGCTTTGCCGATAATTAGCACCTTCTCCCTTTGAGAACCATTTTTAGCTCCCTTTTTTATGAGAAAATTTGTCAAATTAATCGAGGTTACCGGAAAATTAATACATATCAATGACTTTGGAATGATAGTACATTTTAGCTGCTATGCAAATATGCTTTATGGTCGTGCCCTAGTCGTAGGGAGCTTTCTACACATTTCCAATTATTTTAATAATAACGTATTATGTTCATTTCAAGTATTGCTTTACCCGACATCGTATTTCATATAGAACCTTTGACTAATGTCAATCTGTCAGTGTTAACATGAGTCATTATCAGAGCTGGGCAGTATTCGATTTTGTAAATACCTTTTAGTATTCAAATCCTTTAAAGTACGTATTCAGATACTTTGTAATTAAATACTTTTATGGAAGCAGTATTTGTATTTGTAACTCAAATACTTTCACAAATATTTAGTATTCGAATACTTCGCAAGGTATTTGAATACTTGGAGAAGTATTCGAATACTTCGCATAGTATTTGAATACTTAACCTTCCGTTTTTTACCAAAAATCGACTACTCCAAAATTTATCGGGAAAACACTTTTTCTTATTAATTTTGGTGCGTAGAATCCAAAACAATTCGAATTTTTTCGATCATACTTCGCAATCAAAAGTTATTTACTAGAAATCAATTCCATTCAAAGGGCTGTAACTTTTGAACTAGTAGCCCAATCTTGGAACTGTTTGAAATTATGGATTCTACAGGCCACATGCTATAAGGAAATTTTTTTCCTGGTCGATCTGAGACAATTTTTTTGCGGGCCTCAAAAAAAGGCAGTGTATAAACCTTCCTTTTTTTACGAAAAACCGACTACACCAAAATTTCTCTTACTTTTTCGATTAGACGTCTCAATCAAAAGTTATGGGCAAAAAAAACCAATTTCGGCAAAAAATTCAAAGGGCTGTAACTTTTGATCTAGTAGCCCGATCTTGGAATTGTTTGAAATTATGGATTCTACAGGTCACATTCTATAAGAAAATGTTTTTTCCGGGTCGATCTGAAACAATTTTTTTTTCGGGTCTCAAAAAAAGGCAGTGTATAACCTTCCTTTTTTACCAAAAATCGATTACACCAAAATTTCTCGGGAAAACACTTTTTCTTATTAATTGTGGTTGCGTAGA